TTCCTTTTGTTCTACCACGAACTTCAGAACTTCATTAAAATACTTCGTAACAAAATTTCGTCTTCCATAAGTTTGGATATTAACACTAAAACTATCGAGCGTTTAATACGATTAACATGTAATCCTTATAAAAATTAAACAAACAATGGATTTTTTTCGGATTCCTCATATATTTATTACACTATTGGATCATCCCATAAACAATATGGTTTTTTATATTTCTTTTATTTTTAAAAACAAAGATAAACACAAAACTGCTTTTAATTTGAAACACATTCTTCTTTATCTTTATTTTTAAAAATAAAGGAAATACAAAAAATCGCATTATTTATGGGATCATCCAATATTTAAGTGAACCTAGTTATATTGAAAATCATTTCGAATATTTCGTATTTTCAAGATATGAATAATTGCTAAATGAGAAAACTGAAACCTGTCATTTTAACGGTAGTTGTAGTGTAAATTACTTAATATTTGATATCTAAATCGTACCGTTAATATGTCATCAATAAATAATAAAAACACGGTACTATTCGTGAAGCATTGTTCCCGATGAACACTGAATACGCGCAATGTTATCTAATGACTACCAATCACAATCTGATCATTTCCCTACGATCTAATATCACGATTGAAATGTTAGTAAGCATGCACCGCCTCAATCTGCTAAAAGGAAGAAGACAGGAACAATGGAGGACAAGACCTTGGCATTAAGAACACCCTTCGCGCGGTTCACAACCTATCCAGGTGTTGTTGCGCCCAGTATTTACATACCTGAGTCGCATGATTATACAGTTTCAACATGTTGACCGCTACATCAATTAGAAATGTTGCAATTTTTTAACAGAACTTCGACCTTAATTTGATGGGTTTCATTTCACCTAGAACTACCACGCCCGTCGAAATGGCGGGTTTCAGTTTTCTAATTATCGACATTTTAAAAGTGTTATACACCTAACCCTCGATTTACGCAAACTTTTTCCATCCGAGCCTCTTTTTTACGCGGTAAATTGGAACACTATGTACGCAGTAGTTTTTACGCGATCTGAATTTAGTAACAGCAAATAAAATACACTTTTGTTTTCTAAAATGTCATTATTATTATTTCCTTTGTTAAGTTATGTAAAATAAATATGTATTTCTAAAACTTATACCAGCTTTTTTCTTCAATATTTTGTTTTCTCTTGTACTGACAGGCTCTATTAATTTTTGCGTAAATCGAGGGTCAGGTGTATATTAGGAATGATTTGAAAAATAAATAGGTTCACTTGAATACTACAATGAACATATGAAGAAATGAAACAAAATATATTGTTGCAAATTTTGAAAGGACTACATATTAATCATATTAAACTCGATAGTTCTGGTGTTAAAAAACACGATTTATTAGGTTTTACAAATTACGAGGACTTTAACTTTATGTTGATATTAAGCAACACTATCGGTAGATTATGTTTCACGCAAATATTTTCCACTTTCAATTGAAAATGAAAGGTGTTACAGAATTTTTTTCAATGGGTTTTGCAAGGTAAATGTCTACTCTATCGCATGCTGAAAGTAGACTTCCGCCACGGCGCATAGTTTATAAGATAAATTAAAAAATATCTGCAAAAATCGGTATGTTTCAGGTGCCACTTTTCCTTTCAGCATTGTTTAAACGTATTTAAATGTTTCTAATATTATTAAAATCTACATTATTATATTTAGGAAGGTTCACCGAATAGTACTATGCAAGAATAGTTTAACAAATTTTCATAATTAAGACACCGAAAATGTTCAGAATTGAAAAAATTGAGCTTTCTTTCAGAATTCATTTTCTTAAAAATTGTGAGTAATGGAAAAAACAGATTGCATGTGGGAATTCAGCATGAGCAATACTATGAAGATCATCCATTAAACCTTCTGTAACAAAAAAAAGTTAAAACTTGTAGTCCAGTGTAATCTACTTACGCCGCAATGATATTGTTCTACGAGTTCGGTGCTGTTAGTTACCCTTGGCGAACCGTTTAACGACAAGGAAGGACGTCAATTTCCTGACGGTGTCTCGGCGACGAACGTCTCAACTTCCGAGATCGATTTCAATCTGAAAATCCAGCTGGAAATTCACGCGATGTGCACGAGGACAGCGTATAAATCGAGGCGAACGACTTAACAAATGGATCAAGTAAACGCGACATTCCGCAAGGACCGCCGCGTCGCGTCGCGTAGCCCGAAATTATCGTGCATGAACGCTGCGGCATCGTTAATTGCGTTCGTACGACGTTAAGGACACCCGTCCTTGCACCCCTAGTTGCACTCTGATTGATATGCGTGCCAGTTAAGAGGCCATTATGCTTCGAAGAACGCGGAGATTAAGCGATAGCATGGTTGTTATGAAAACGCTAAGAAAAACGAACTGTTACCGCGGGAAACACGTTTGTTCCGGTCTTTTAGAACCTCACGCCCGCCATGCTTCTTTTTTACAGCGTCAACGTTACATTATCTCCGCGCGAATGGAAATTTAGTTTCAGATATGCATACCTTGAACAGTTTTAACCCTTTGCACTCGAGAATATGTTTGATTGTAAATGTTCGTTATTTTCTGATGAAATATAAAAGGTAAAAGTACCAATAGTTAATTGACCAGTTAAGAAAAATGTTCCGCGTGAATAATAGTAAACGCTTGCTTTTTTATTAAGTAGAGAGACTCTATGCGTGAAAATGCTGCTTGAACTTCTTACATTATCTAATGAAGCGAACATTTTTTAAATAGTTATATTATCCAAATTTTATAGGTTTTTTTCAAAATGCAATACTTGCATTAGAAGTTGACTATCCTCGAAAACGAGAAAACTTGTAATTAACCATATGTTAATCAGCAGTTGACTATTTATAGTATTATGAAACAAATGAGAAGAAGTTGTCTCGAAATTAGTAGATGTTGCAACATATCTATCGCGTCTTTATCGAAAGATTACTAAAAACACCTAATATCAAAAGAACCCAGTCCTTGACACATGTAACGAAAGATTTACAATAAAACACATACTAATAGAATGTGTTGAAATGGAAATAAATCCACGAATCAAATATAATAAATCTTTAAAACACAGAGCAACAGGAAAGGTGGAAAGAAATATAATAATCAGACGAGCATGTCGCTAATGACCGAGAAGTCGACACGATGTTAAATAACGAATGGAAAAAAATTAATAAATCTAACCCTTGATTTATACGGTGGATTGGTTCTCTGAAAATGCCGTGTAAATTAAAATCGTGCAATTCGAGTCCACAATTTATATTGAAAGGAAATAGATATGTAATAAACTTAACAAATCCATATGAAACAGTATTATTTATTTGTCTGTAAAATAAAAAATTATATGCATATTTATAAATAAAAATTCATTAATCCAACAAGGTTGCAATTCACGAAACAAAGAAAAAATTACTGTAATTTGTTTCATTTCTCTGACTTGACCGTGTTAAGGTGAAATGCAAGTGCCGTGTAAATGGCAGTTTTTCCGCTCTTCTTCAACCGTGTTAAACCGAAATCATGCAATTCGAATGCCGTGTAAATCGAGGGTTAAATGTAGTACTATTTGCAAGTAATGCAAATTGTATTTTTATAGTATATATGTCGTCACTTTGTATAAAATATAACATTTTGATTTTTCTGGTGAAATATCGATAATACTATTAGCAATTAACACAGAAAAATGTCGTGTAAAAATTAACCTGTTAACTGTGGAGTTTGAAAAATTTCTCATTGTGCGTAGAATAAAATCAAACAATAAAGTGTATACTCGTCAAAGGCGGGGTAAATGCACCTATAATATATTCTAACGAAGAACCTATAATATATTCTAAAACAAACGAAGAATAATTACACGTTCATTTGAAAAAATAAATAATTCATCGTTGAAGTAATTAGTGCCATTTTGCGTTTTAAAATGACGTATATAATCGCTAAACGCAGTTAACTGGTTAAGCGATACCATCGTTGATACGAAAACAGTAAGAAAAAGGAACAATTGCCGAGGAAAACTCGTTCGTTCCGGTATTTTAGAACCTTTCGTTCAGCATGTTTCTTATTTACGGCGTCAACGTTACGCTATCTTCACGCGAATGAAAATACTTTTAGACATTTGGTTTATTTTTATTTATTTATTTTTATCTATTGTTATGTATTAAATTACTTTGATCGGTTTTATCGTATCATTAATTATGAATATATTTTCTTTCATATACAATTGTGAATAAATTTGAAACGATTACATATTTATTTCTTTAATTTCGTAATACGTACAGCCATTAACTGCAATTATTTTCATGACTGATAAATAATTCACAGATATTTTCCAATATTGTGATATAATTTTAAAAATATAAAATCGGTTCTTTCTAAATTGTTTTGTTGATCTTCTGTTTGGTAGTGGTAACTTGAGGTATTCGAAAACAATCACTATCATTAATGAAACTGTACAGATCCTCCACTTTCGTTGCAAAGAGTATTAACTTCACCAGAAAATTAGTTTTCAATCAATTCTAATTAGATTCTTAAAACTAGAACACATTTATAATTGCAACTCGCCTTATTTACGTTACAATCGAATATTCTAATATACTTTTATAAGATAAATAATAACAATAATGATACTAATACATTATATGTAGTTATTTCTAATATAGATTTTATAGCATTAAAAAATAACTTGAACATACATTCTGTATTTTATATTAACATATTTATTTGATATAAAAAATGTAATTATATAACATGTTTGTACGACAACGCCTGGGTAATGGATGAATAAAACAAAAGCTGTTTCTAATGTATCTTATCAACTATGTTGCTGTGCTATTCATATAACATATTAACACCATTTTTATGTGCATTTATATCAACAATATACTATTATAATAATTTAATATTTATTATCAGAATTCATTATAAAAATGTACTGTACAATCATTACCGTGTAACTAAAATATGAATATCTCCGTTTTACTTTCTTCAGGAAAACGTGAAGGCACCAGTGGAGGGAACTATATTGGTAACTGTCCAGTTTCAACAGGGGGTCCACCCAGGATCAGCAACGGTACCGCGAGTTACGGTACTGCACCTGGGGGTGGCAATATGACCCCCGAAGATCTCGCTCCCGATGAAGAGTTTGCCCTAGCTATTACACAGAAAGCTCAGGTACAAAGAATCTTCTGTAATGCATTATTATTTAACACTAAAAAAACTATTAGACGGGTTAACGTGACCCATTCCTGATTTCTTAATTTGCCAATTATTAAAAAAATAACAAATGTTTCTCTGAGAAATTATTAAATATATTAATTTAGCAATACGCAAACTGAATTGCAAACCAATTCAAGTTTTAATGGATGCACTGTTGGAGTTGCTATAGAGGAATTTCAAAAAGTCAGTTTAACTGCTCGGTAGGTTTAGTGTTAAAATCTTGACCTACAATGTCGTGTCAGAATCGTGACGAAAATTTTAAGCTGAATTTGAGAAATCTAAGTGTCATTTATTTGTTTTAAGCATAAATTAAATATTACTTTTCTATTATTGATCATTAAACTTTGGAGTGAACGCAGACATAGAATAAATATTGAAATTGTTTCTTTACCTGTACTTTTCTTTACTTTTACTTTTCTTTCTATAAATGATTAACAGTGAAATAAGTAGTTGTATCGAGCATAGTTAAGAAATAAATCATAGGGCTTAACCCTAGGGGTTAACCTTACATCTACCGCTCCCTTGTACTATACGCCTCTCTCGTTAGCTTTATCGACCTCCAAACTAAAAGAACAGAGGGGCAAGGGGATTCTTCCACTCACGATGCTCGGCCCGCCTCGGCTTTTGACGCATGATCCTTATTGGCGTGCGGTAATAACACCCTTGCCTCTACACACTTTTAGTTTGTTGGTCCATGTAACTAACGTGAGAGGCGTTTAGTAAATGAGTGCATTATGTTTTATAGCGTTCGAATATTTTTATGACATCAAAACTGAGCGTTGATTCGTTTATTATTTATCTACAAAAAAGGTTTATAAATTAGATAACAAGTATTTTAAATCATTAATAAACAATTCCTACAATGAATAATTCCAGAAATTTTTAAAGTTCTTAATTTCTAAATATTATTATCGGTTTCTGCATGTTTAAATGAATTCTGGGATACAAAAGAAATCCATAACAAAATACTCAAGAAAATCATAATATAAACAATCTCAATCTTATTTCGGAATTATTGTTCTATTAAAAGTGTTAAATATCCGGAATGATTTTAAAAATAAATATTTCACTTGAATATTCTAACAAATACACGAAGAAACCGACACCAATTTATTGCTACAATTTGTATAAGGGTTAGATATTAATCATATTAAACGCTTGGTAGTTCCAGTGTTAAAAAAAATGATTAAGCTTTTTTTAATGCGACATAGACGTCGAAAAAAATATTAAACGCGTTCGCTACCAGTGTCACATATCTGTGACGATCAATATTTCATACTTAGTACAAACAAGAATAATTTATATTTACGCGTGTTTTCATCTAAAGTTACAACGCATGGTATAATGTATATCCTGCTACAGAGATTTCCTTTTCTTGAATATTATTTGTATTTTGTAAAGGCGATGTGTTTCATTTAATAAAATATTGTTTCTAACGGATATTGTAACCGAAGAGATTGTTATTGAAAGAAATTCTGATAGCGAATAAGTTAATAATGTTACTATTTCGAATGATTTAAGTTTTGAACATTTATCATCGGTGAATTTCAATTGAACGTTTTCTTCAATATATTGTTTGTTAACACTTCCACTTTTCCCTTAGCAACAAATTGCCACTTCATCAGAGAATGATGAATACATCCAATGAAAACGCTTTCGAGTGTAAAGAGTTAATCAATATTAATATATTAGTATATTATTATTATTTGCTATATTATTATACTTCTATATTATAATCTACTGTCAGTTTCGTCTAAGAGCGTATATATACGTTAATGATACAAATGGGTTAAGGAGATGTTTATTACATCATTTTCAAGGATAAAAGACATCTTTACACTTAGCCAACCGAATAAGAAAATCTCCCACTTTTCACTTAGCAATAAATTGTCACTTATTTTGTTCTTTGTTTCTTTTGTTATTTAATGAATCTTAAACTGGGGATATTTGTAATTCAACAAATATCTTTCTTGCTTTCGTAAAACACAATTTTTGATAAAATTTGTTGAATGAGATCAATTAACCTGTTAATTGTGGAATTTAGTTTGAAAAATCTCTCGCGCACAATAAAACAAAAAAATGAGGTCTGCACTTATGAAACTCTGGACGAATGAACCTAGGGTAAAATTTAATGAAAACCTAAAACAAAAAAGAATTACATGTTTACATGGAAAAATAAAGAATTCATCGTTGAAAGAATTTTTCAAGCTTTAAGATGGTCGTGTATACACGTCAAACGCAGTTAACTAGTTGAAGTTAATGAAAAAGGTGATAGTTCTTTTTTAAACGGTTGCCTAAGTGTTAAGATGAAGTATCTTCAAAGAAATATTAACACTATTTCTTGAGATAAAATATTGAATAACAAAACGGATGCAGAGCAAGGGAAAATCTATCGCGGTGTTCCATTTTTTTCAAGAAATTAATAAAACAATGATTACCCAGATTTCACGCACTGAAAAGGAATCTAACAACACAATTACTGTAGCGTTCTTGTAGTGCGTTTCCAAGTTAGTGGCTAATAACGTTCAGCCATTATTAATTACTTGCGATATCGCTGGTAAATAGCATCCTCCGCTGACTAATTTTGAAAAGAACCGATACGCTCAGTGCATTGAATCATAACTATTTTCTCTTAAGTACAAAGACGAATGGTTAACATCCGTTCAACATTGTTTTCCTAAAAGCTTGAAACTATTTTTACTAACAGCAGCTCTATTTTTAACCTATTGATGGACGAATGTCGCACAGTAGCCTCTTATAACACAAAGGTACACATACTTAATGGCCAATCAACGTTCTAGATCGAGTTCACGTGTTGCAAAAACGTTATGGTGGAAAGTTCTGTCTATTTTAGATGTTCTTTAACAAATTAATTCTTTGCGAGCAAAGATTCTTTAAGGTATACAGAACCTTTAGCAGATTCTGTCAAATTATATACCACATGCTTAAGTAATAGAGAAAAAAGAAACTACATACTGATATTTTGCTGTTTGAGTAATTGAATCATTTCTTTGGACTTTAGTATTCCAAATATGGAAGTTCGAGTTTGCCAAAATGTCGAATGTAGGACAATAATTTCGAATGCTAACAAAACTAATAAAAATATCGTAATACATCATTTTCGTTTCAAAAATTAAATTCAGACTTTCTACAACAAATTTTTAAACAAAATATCTATTTGATTTTTTTTATCCGGATCTTTCAGTAATTGCAAGTGATCTCGAAAACATCTGCATTTTTAATTTATGTACTTAATGTAAAATAAGATAAAATATTTCAAATTTATTGTAAAATATTGAAGAAATACCTACACTTTGGTTTGATAATTCTGAATGCGTAATATCTACTTTGAAACGCGTTTAAATGGAAACGACAACCCAATTTAATTTTTAAATGAACTTCCTTTAATTTTTTACAAAATAATCAACAAGTAATAAAATTACAAATGAAAAACATAGATTGTACTAATAATTGTATGAGTCATTTATACAAGATAATTGAAATGGTCATCTCGCCTGTACGGTAATCCTCACCGAAATTACCCTATATTGCAATTAATCCCTCGACCTACAATATTGTATCAAACTCGTGACGAAAATTTTAAACTAGATTTGACAAATCTAAGTGTTATTTATTCCTTTAAATGTGAATTAAATGTTACCTTTTTATTATCAATCGTTAACTTTTGGAGTAAACGTAGATAAATATAAAAATTTGTTCTTTTGCTAATAAATTATTAACGATAATAATTTACTTTCCTGTCACAGAACGTAGAAGAGCTTGGCAAGAGTTTAGCTTACGTATATAACGATACAAACAAATACAGTCCGGCTTCCAATTAATGCAGAATGCGTAGCGCGCAGATGCATAGTCCCACGGGTCCGTGTTCTGGTAACGGCAGGTATTTTTCGACGGGATTTACGTGATTCGAATCGTGAACCCTCGTAAAAGATGAACGGACAATAACATCCTCCGGGAAGTGTTTCGGTTTGATGAAACGAAGTACGTTTTAAATGAACTTTATTTAACCAGTTAGCTGTTTTTGACGAGTACACACGTCATTTTAAAACTCACAATAATACTAATTCATTCAACGATAAATTATTTATTTTTTCAGATAAACATGTAATTCTTCTTCGTTTTGCTTTAGTGTTTTGTTAAAATATATTATAGGTGTATTTGTCCTGCGTTTGACTAGTGTAACAATTCATTAATTCGATTTTATTGTAAGCACAATGAGAGATTTTTTAAATTAAATTCTACAGTTAACAGGTTAAATATGTTCAACTAACAATTTTGATTAAGTAGGAATAAAAATATTGTACTTTTCTATGATTTTATATAAGTGCCCCTTTTACTCTACCATTTTTGCGAAGTAGATATTTCAATGCCTTTAGAAAATCGTATATTCCTTCGTAACTAAATATTTTTCTTTAAAAAATCTTTGATTTTTCTCGCTAAAGTTCTATTTAAGACTTCCAAAAAAAGTTTCATGCGTTTATTGCTCCAGATACTTTGTTATTACAATTCATTTTACCCTATTTTCCCCTATTTATTACTTGGTATCGCAATGCTTACGTTATACTGTTGTTTAGTTATTTACGCTGTTAAACGTTTCAATTCAACATTAGTTATTTGACAAATTATAATTGTTTTCAAGTAATTTGGAAGCTCCAGTCATCGATGACCACCGTGGTAGTTAACATGTTTAACCACTTATTTGTTTTTTACGAGTATACTCGTCATGAAGAAATGACATTGCAATTTGCATTAAAAAAGTAATTACAATTTGCTGTTTAAATTGCAATTTTAGTGAATACGAAAATATATTTGTAAATTTTAAGATGTTTTGAACATTTGGAGGCAATGACGAAATGAAACGTACAAATAAAGAAATATAAATAATTATTATAAAAAAACTCTATATAGTGTGAACAAAGTAGTTGTTCTAGAAT